CACCACCCACATGGAAGAGCAGTAATGGGTAATAGTCCAAGCCTGTAACAGGCTAGGAAGTTTCCTAGCGATGTCCTTAACCCAGGCTAGCCTTCCACATCCAGAGCCTTATCCCTGTTGTACAGAGGCACCTGAGAAGGTGAGGTGGGCAAGGATTAAGTATCACTAGCTTCAGGGGAAACTAGAAACATAAGGTAAGGGAAATCATACCATACATGTGAAGAAAAGTGTATTTACTATAGATGAGCTCTCTTCTGTTCTTGTCCTTCCTTAAGAGCTTTACATTGCTCCAGCTTTTCATGATTTTATGCACTGAGCCAGCCTTCCTGCAGTATCAGGTAACCTACTGACCCAGCCAAAAGAGACTTTCAGGTTTTGAAGGTCTCAGAAGGCCACATCTAATTTGGCAAATCAGATTCTCACCTTTTACCTTCATGCCATGGAACTCCTCAAGTACAGATCGGTGGAGCTGTCTAACCCTTCCGCTGGCAGGACTTCAGAATTTAACTAATTATTATTGCACGTCGGTCGGGGCAATCCCAAGCACAAGTACAGGCTGGGTGGAGAATGGATTGAGAGCAGCCCTGAGGAAAAGGACTTGGGAGTGCTGGTGGATGAGAAGCTCGACATGAGCTGGCAATGCCCCAAAAACCCAACCGTATCGTGGGCAGCATCCAAAGAAGCATGGCCAGCAGGTCAGGGAGGTGATTCTGCCCCTCTACTCAACTCTCATGAGATCCCACCTGGAATACTATGTTCAGCTCTGGAGTCCCCAACATAAGGACATGGAGCTACTGGAACGAGTCCAGAGGAGGTCCACAAAGATGATTCGAGGGCTGGAGCACCTCTGCTATGAAGACAGGCTGAGAGAGTTGGGGCTGTTCAGCCTGGAGAAGAGAAGGCTCCGGAGTGATCTTATAGCAGCTTTCCAGTACTTAAAGGAGGCCTACAGGAAAGCTGAAGAGGGACTTTTTACAAAGGCGTGTAGTAATAGGACAAGGGGCAATGGATTTAAACTGAAAGAGGGGAGATTTAGATTAGATATAAGGAAGAAATTTTTTACATTGAGGGTGGTGAGGCAGTGGAACAAGTTTCCCAGAGAAGTTGTGGATGCCCCATCCCTGGAAGTGTTCAAGGCCAGGTTAGATGAGGCTTTGGGCAACCTGGTGTAGTGGAGGATTTCTCTGCCCATGGCAGGGGGGTTGGAACTAGATGATCTTTGAGGTCCCTTCCAACCCTAACCATTCTATGATTCTATGATTCTATGATTCTATTTGTGTGTCTACAAACACGTGTTAGAGTAAACTGTCACATTTATTTTAGGCATCAAATTTAGAGCCTATGT